AAAAAAAAATGAAAAAAAAATTACTTCATTTTGAGAGTAAAGCTCTTATTAACTACAACTGATTCTTCTCAAATACTTGTAAAAACTAGAATTTAGTCAGTGGTGGGGAGCAGGCGGGGGAAAGTGGAATACATTTAAACAGACAAAAAAATTAATAATTATTTAAATTTTACCAGGGTTTAGTTCTTCTTCCAGAACTTGATAGGGCGATATGTAAAATTCAATGTTCATAGGGGTTCCTAAAGTAGAAATAAAAATTACAGTTGGTTACTATAAAAATGTTACTTCCCCCAAGCAACAAAGGACTCCTTTTAAAAAACAAACTATCATGACACCTCTGCTTGAATTTGTACATTTTCCAAGTTGCTATATTTGAGGTTTTTAGCTCTCCGATGAATCAAGAAATGTTTAGAATCGGGCTATTTAAGTTAATCTCTTGAAACATACATCATACTTCAACAGCCTTCTGTTCAAACTTAGCAGTTCAGTAATAATTTTAAGTTTCCTGAAGTGACTCATCTCTTCTGGGAAAGGAAAGCTGTAATCCACAATCCAGGGCTATTCCCAGGGAGCTGAGCAGCAGCTCAATATAGCAAGAAAACATGTCAGAAGTACTCTTCAGAATGCATGGTCTTTCAAAAAACACAACCCACTGAGAGTTAAAGCCTAGGGCTGCTGCCAATAGCCTAGCCTAAGTTGAAAGGTGCTATAACCCTTCAATTTGGTAACCCTCCATTTTATAGACTAGCATCAAATTCTTTTTAGCAATTCTGGTGGGTGTCTTGCAGTTACTCCCAAAATGTGATTTCCCACCTGACCTCAACACTGGCAGTATTGCTTTTCGACTGGTGTGAAAGTCGGGCTGTTGAAGTCAAATCATTGAGGCCCAGACAGTTTTTCTGGGGTGGCAGCGAGGTGTGTGTACAGAGCCTGGGAATACAGATGTTCAATCAAACATGACTATAACAAATAAATATGCATGGTACTCAGTAATTAAGGATCTCGATTGTGAACAGACTTTCTTTTTAACAGAAGTTGTTTACCTCCAGTTCTTGGCACAAGGTGTCCTACTTTTCCATGAAGTACTTCAGTAACTCTGTTGACATCCTGTGTGCTAATTTTATAAAACACACTCTAGTCAGTGGTTTTAGTGAAACAATGGTATTCAGGTCATTTTAAGCCTCAAACATTCTTTCTTCTCTTTGCACAGTGTTATTATGTTGCCTGCTGTCTGTAAGAGGGAACTTGCATGGCTCTTACTGCTTAGGTTGCTAGTTAAAATTTTGTGATAGACCCCACTTAAATAAGTATTTGTACTTGCTGCATATTTAAAACTTGGCATGTTCTGAGCTTATATACCTTCTTTCACAGTCTAGGATATAAGGACTGTATTAGGATGACCAGTGCAAGGACAAGATGGGAGGGAGGCAGTATAACTGAGTGACCTGGATAAACTGGAACTCAAATGACTGTCACACCTTTCTCCAACTTCATCCCTTCTACAGATGCAAGCAAAATAATGAGCTGCAAAAAACTTTAAAAGGCAGCCGGATAAAATCTACTCAGCTAAACAAATAGCTCATTCATGAATTCACAATTAAGTCTGTCTGTGAATATCCTGAGCAATTGCAACTAGCAAGGAACAGAGTATTTTAATTTAAATAAAAAATGGTATTCTTATTAAGGGAACACCACACAAAAATAAGTTAACAATATGTTCCTGTACTACAGTGGAGCTCTTCTTGCTGAGGCTGTTTAATAGGCATATCATCTGAAAGTCTTCCAACCCCTCCTTCTTTGTTTGTTTGTATGCTTTTTATTTATATATGGGCTAAAACTGCCAACGGCTTTAAGGAGACCCACTGATGAATTGTCCCCTACCCACTTTTAGTTTCACTGTTTAGAGAAAGATATAGGCCTAGACCAGAACTTGGATAGAATATAAGGTCTCAACAACTACATTTTGCTTCTTCTGTAGGAAAATTTTGAAACTATCTTTCCTCCATGTTAGTATATCCTGTCCATGTCTAATGGGTGTCCTTTCAACTGGCCAGTTTGAAGACAATTAAATAGAAGACAAACAGTCCTTATTTTGTTTTCTACACCTCCTGAAGAAATAATTTTTTTAACCTCTCCTATCTAATTGTGTAATGGGACCACATAGGGTGGATTGCTATAGACATAGACCTTTCTGTTCAGCTGCTGGTAAGTTGTACACCTGGACTGCAAGGATATCAACGTGAGAACTTGCAGATCAGAAGAGTTGCAATGCTACTACACTAACCACTGAGTTATTGCGAAGTTAGTGGAAATTAAACCAACTGAGGATCTGGCCATATGGCTTTTCTTATTTGACTAAAACCATGACAAAGATACCAAGCTTCCCATTGGGAGAAACCTCCACATCCATCCACAATCCTTTGTATAATTATGTTAAACCAATGTAATAATTTCTGAGTCAAATACTTTTTAAAAAAATGCACCATGCAGTCTCAAAGTTACCTGTACAGAAGGGACATGGAACAGAGATCTTTTTCCAAGGATTGCAAGACTAGATATGCCTTAGCTTTCATATCACTGGGAAAAAGAATGCAGATTAAATAAATAGATCAACCACAAATAAAAGCTAGTTACATTTAAAGGAAATACAACCTATTTCCTGGAATTTGGTACAGATTTGACAAGTCTTCTAGAATCTTTCCAAAGGCAGCATAGTCTTTCATTCTAAAAGATAAAGAACAATTACTGCAGCCAAAATACAAAAGAAGATGACTTAAACATCATACAGCTTTCTATAGCATGTTGAGGACATTTCGAACAGCACCATGGACCCGATTATCAGATCTGGCATATCAAACACTGTTTTGAAGATTTATTTAGAAAAAGAGGAAGTATGAATTTTGGCAGTTACACAACCAATGCAGCTTAAGCAGATATCACTGGAATACACATTACTAAAAGCAATGCACATGCACCATTTTTGTATTTGACAGCTGGAAATGTAATGTTTCAGCTTGGAACAGCGTTTCTTAATGTTTCAATACAGTGAGTCATAGTATCACTTTGAGACTATGAACCCATACACAGTCTCTCTTATCAAAACATCAAGGTTTTCATTAATGTTACATCTCCTAGCAGCAATGTGAGAGACAAATCTTAAACATATTTCTATGAATAGGGAAACTTTAAAAATGCAAAAACAAATTGAGAATAAAAGAACTTACTCTGCACGTCCTACATTCTTGCAGAAGGTTTATGCATTTCTCATAGACCACTCAGAGGTTGCTCCAAACCAGCTAGGGTCCTGACAACAACCTCACTGTGGCAGCCCTGAACTGAGTGTGAGCTAACCACTAAAGTACTATTTATGCAGGTTTTTGGGCAGGCTTTGCAGCCCTGCTAAACTCTGAGAGTCTGTGGCTATGCTACTATTGACATGCAAGTTAGCTACCTACACCTTTCACTGCCAGGTAACCATAAAAATTGTGTAACAGTAGTAGGGCTGTGCAAAGCTTTGGTCCCCAATTCGTTTCAGCAGAGATTCGGCCCAATTCAGTGGCTGAATCTGAATCGAATCGGGACCCTTTAATCTCTCTGAATCAATTCGGAAAGATTTGGAGATTCGGACATAGAGGCAGCTTTAAAATGTTTTTTCTACATACCTCTGGGTAGCAGGCAGCTTGTGAGTGCTGCGATGCTGGGGTGCATGGACTGTCCCACAGAAGCATGGGGACATCCCAGCACGCTCAGCAGCAGACCCAGAAGTGAACCAGAAGCACTTCCGGTCCACTTCTGGGTCTGCCAGGGAACACATGGGGGGCCCCCCCACACACCCCTCCAGCTCAGTGACTAGTGCCTCCTGGGACAGGGAGGGGGGCAGCTGGGGTCCCCCTGCAGCCACATGCCGAACGAGGGAGGTGCAGGGGGCCTCTCCAGTGCACTCCCAGGCAGACCCAGAAGTGGACCAGAAGTACTTCCAGACCACTTCCAGGTTCACTGCAAAAGCACATGAAGGGCCCCCCCACACACACATCCTGCGGGATGCTCCCCATGACCCAGCTTTGAATCAATCATGAGCCATGCCTGCTACCTCAAGGTATGTAGAAAAAGTTTTTGAAGCTGTGTCTATGTCCAAACCGCTGATTCTCCAAATCAGCATCGAATCTTCAGATTTGGATTCAGCTGAATCAAATCAGGGACAGTGATCTGAATCAACAAATCAAATCACTGTCCCCAATTCAGGCTGAATCCAAATCAAATAGGGCCTGCTTTGCACATCCCTAATCAGTAGTAAGACTAAGCAAACACTCTCCCTTCAACACTGGACCAATTTCCCTCCCCATCCAGAAATTTAATCAATCAGCTTAATCTCTCTGCCCTTCAGGGGTCTCCCCCTCTGCACCCCACCCCTCCATCTGTAGCATGGAAATAACACAGGAGTATGTTAGGTTTAACATGCGACCAATAATTGTTTTGAACCACACAACTGTAGGGCGCCATAAAAAATGTAAAAATAGGATCTCTTTCTGTGAAGAGGGACTGGCTATAAATGAGGTCCAGGGAACAGAACGAGAGATTGCGCCAAGAGAACGCCATTGCCAGAGTAGCTGTTCCTTTAAAGATAGGCCCAGAGAGGTGCGGCATGGTGTGTGGGAAAAGAGATGACGGAGCAAGGATTCAGTGGAAAAGAAATCGTGGGAAAGATAGAGATTGGGAAATCCCGGGAGCTGGTTCTGCTTAAGAGAGAGGCCATGTCCGGAGGAGAGAATCTGGAATCCCAAAGAAATAGAGTGACTCTTGAATCCCTCGAATGAGTAGAGTGATGAAAGCAGAAACCACGAGAAGAAAGGAGCCACGGATGCTTATCAATTTTCACAAAGGTCAAGTTCATTCTTATCCTGTTCTGTTTTTCTTGTTTGTTTGAATTTAAGTGGGGCTGATTGTGCTCCAGGGTGTGTTGGGGAGAGAAAGAGCCAAGGCTGTTCTCACACCCACACAAGAAACAGGAGCGTATGGAAGAACTCCTTAAGAAAAAAATCTCTTCATGAAACAAAAAGAAAGAAAGACTAGACTGAAAGCAGTACCCCAATCAAGAAAAGAAAAATATAAATAGTTCTGAAGTTGACTTTGCCTTGCTGTGTACCTGTTATTCTGGTGTTCAATAAATGGAACTAAGTGTTGTTGGGTTTTTTTTAAAGGTAAAAACAAAAAGTATGTAAAATAGTTTGAAAGTGTCACAAGATGTATAGATGTTAATGGATAGGGGCTGTAAGAAGAAAAAAAAAAAAAAAAAACTTAATAACAAAGAATTGATCAACCATACACGATCTGGATTCAATTGATGATTAAAAAATCTTGGGTGTTGTCCAAGGGTGTTTCATAATTTCTAGGGTCAGAAGGGACCTGATAAGATCATCTAGTCCGACCCCCTGCCATGGCAAGAAAGAGTACTGGGGTCAGACGACCCCAGCAAGGTGGTCATTTAACCTCTTCTTAAAAACCCCCAGGGTAGGAGCCTGCACCACCTCCCTTGGAAGTTGGTTCCAGACCCTAGCCGCCCTGACCGTGAAATAGCGCCTCCTGATGTCTAACCTAAACCTACCCTCTGCTAGCTTGTGACCATTGTTCCTGGTCACTCCTGGCTGTGCTCGATGGAACAGTGACTCCCCCAATGTCTTCTGATCCCCCCTGACCAGTTTGTAACAGGCCACAAGATCCCCCCTCAGCCTTCTCTTGTGGAGGCTGAACAGGTTCAGGTCCCGTAGTCTCTCCTCATAGGGCCTGCCCTGCAGTCCCCTGATCATGCGAGTGGCCCTCCTCTGGACCCTCTCGATGCTGTCCACATCCCTCTTGAAGTGCGGCGCCCAGAACTGGACGCAGTACTAGAAGAGAGGGGTAACCCAGATAACAATCTAGTCATATTGCTGATGTCCTACTGCATCAGTAACACCTCCCAACTGATAACATAAAATACGATCAAGACTTGGCAGGTGAGAGGCGGAATATAATGCAGAAGTACACAAATCTGGCAATCAGATAGATAAGAGCAAAAAATCAAACCCTCAGGTATCAAGGAAAAGCCCCACACTTTACTATTACCATCCGACATTGAGCAATAAAATACCATAAAACTAGTTTAATTATAGGAAATAGCATCTTCTAATGCAATACTGCCTGTACACCTCCCTACGTTTATTACACACTGTAACTATACATCACTAAGGCCATAATCGAAAGCCAAGCAATTAATCACATTTAAAAATGTAAAATTAAAAACTTTGAAATTAGCTATCCACACCTATGAAATTAAAGATGCTTAAAGTTTAATTGTTTTTAATGTGGAAAAGTTTATTAAAGCAAAACTCTAAAATGTGTAATGTAGGCCTCAGAATATCAACAAGTATCCTGTCTGTCTTCCATTTCTTACCCAATTACCCATTTTTTGTCCATCTCTCCCCTACTATGGAAATTAGTTACTAAAATACACTTGGTGGTATCTAGTAAGTGAAAAGATAGCTATTGACCAAATTTAGTCTTTAAGTATACTTTAAACTCCAGTCAATCCTTCAGTTTATCCCTTATAATGGAGGTTACTTTTGGAACAGGGCAAGAAACATCTAACAGAAAATCTTTTAATCTACATTATGTCCATTAGAAATATCACTACTGAGATCATATTTCCTTTGTACCTGGTTTCTCTCTCAAGATTTCAGTGCTGTGTCTTACTTTCACTACCATAAACAAAGTCAAGGTGTGAATGTAGAACAAGAGCTATCCTATGCAGCATATTTGCATAATATTTGGAAGACACGTGTATTTTAAGAATCTGTTTGGTTACTAGTCAAAATTGTAGTTTGTATCAGTTTGGGGTTTTTTCTTTGTAGTTTCCATTCTTTTACTGTGGCATAATTATACAGTCCTATACAAAACTAAACGCATGCACAATCAGTATATGTCCAACTGGTACACAGAATTTAAACATTCTAGACTGTACTTATTGCTTAGAGTAGCTCTCAACCTTTTTAGACCTAAGGCACCCCTCCAAAAAATGTCAGCTCTTAGTTTTTACTTGTTTTTTTTCACTACAAAAACATCATAGAGCAATTTTTCTGTTGCAAAGAACTCAGAATGATCACCATAAGTCATAGTGTTTTTAGCATAATTAATTTCTATTTGAAAACCAGGTTTATCTTATGAATTATATTTGAACACCTAGCAGTGCTAACACTGTGTGGCACCCTTGAAAAATTGAGGGCACCCTAGTTGAGAATCACTGGCTTAGGTAAACAGGTGTAATTGTACGGAGCTTAAAATTTAGGTCAGAAGGTCCAAGCCACACGTAATTACATTTATATTTTTATTTATTATTTTATTTATTTACAGATTTGACAGTACAAGAACAAAAAAGCCCTGTAACGAGGAATTAAGATGACTCCTCTTTAATCTATGATCTACAAGGCAATAATTATTGAATGGTCTATTTTTTCTTTTCACTTTCTAGACTCAGAATTAAAACAGGGAAAAGAGAAATTTTAGTGATATGTAACTTCCTGTCTTCAGGTTATTTAAAAAAAGGGAGACAGGTGTACCATTTTCCCCAAAAATCACTATGTTAAATAAGGCTTCCATTAATTGTTTCAAAATGATAGCATCAGAACTATTATATAATCCTTTTCTAATCAACAAGAGAATCCAAGCAATTCTGTACCTTAGATGCTGCAACAGATCTTCACAAATCTAGAGCAAGAAAGAAGGAGATAGTAAAGCATGAGCTCTATTTAGAAATAGCTCCTTTGGCGACAACAGATTATTCTCCATTACTTAACAGCATTATTTCCTCTAAGAAATCTAAATCCTATTTTACAGTTAGCTGTTTTGCCAAAAACTTAATAAAAGAATACTAGGAAATGAGCAACTGTGCAAAGGATGACATAACTAAATAAGATACAATTGATTTTTATATATTATTGCTAAAATCCATGGAGTCTTTGCCAATTTTTTATTAGCAATTATTGTTTTTTGTAATTCTTTGAATATGAACTTCCCTTAATTAGATATTTCAAAATAACTGACAGATTTTCTTCACTAGGATTCCAAATTTTTATTTGGGACTCTTTCAGATTTTAATAATAGCACTGAAGTTTTCCACAGAACATGTATAACGCTGAGAGCGAAAATGCAGGCTTCTCTTCACTATACCGCGAAAGCTGTTTCAACTTTGATCTGAAATAATCGCTTGTAATTACATGCAGGAACAACAACACTTAGCACTTTTATTTTGCAGTAACCTTATTCCAGTATTTTAATAAGAAGCTCCTGGAATGTTTCCACTGGTAATCTGCAGTAGTAAGAATGTGTGCAATCATGGGGTAGATGGCTGAGAAATGTAACAGGAAAAGATACTTCCATTTGAAATATATATTAAGTTTCATCTTATTGGCAACATAGCATTAGGTCCTGATACCTGGCATGTATTGCAAACAATTCAAATTGAAAACTTGCATTTTAAGAAAGGGTGACAACCTGGTAGAAAATCTGAGGATAGCTATATTCAGAGACAGTATAAACCCCGAGTCAGAAATCATACAAGTCATACCTTGTATTTGCTACTAAGATTTTAATAGATGACTTCCAAGGGCTTGGTCCAGCATGTTAAGGAAACTTAAATATATAAAGAAACTCGGTAGAGACATCATCTGTGAGAGCAGCTCAGTCTGCATACCTGCTCAGTCCCTGCCACTTCAGATGAGACTGCTAAACAGGATTCTAAGTAGTACAAATTGCTAAGTCCTGTAGGAATGAAGCTGATAACATCGGTAACTCACAGGAATCAGTCAGTCTACTGTGGAATTTTGTTCAGTAGTGTGGAAGTATTCAAGTTGTCATTTTTCCACAACTAACTATATAAGACACTCTTCTGAACTTCTGTAAAGGAACAAACAAACAAAAAGCCTTACCACAGGGGCCTCTCCAGGGTGAGCCAACTTTACATCTATCACCTTTCCATCTTTCTCCAACTGAACTTCTACATAGAACATATCCGAAGTTATATAGCAAGATGTTCCATTAGGGCTAATGTGGGAGTTAAGCCTATGGAAAAGGAAAAGGAATTGTATATTTAAGAATTTGTTTGAGTGAAGAACAGAGATGAGGTTATTTTATTTGGGGGTGCAAGGAGATTCTAAGACAAATTCACTTCTCTACAATAGCTGTTCCTTTGCTTGGCATTTAATAATGACCCAAGCAAGGATTATGTTTTTGCCTTGCTCTTCGGCAATTTGCATTATCATTTGCTGAACATTATTTGCCTTGGGCAGCAGCACTGATAATTGCATGACCCCAACTCCAGCCAAGCAACAGGTCTAGGAATGGTACAGGTAATTAAGTGTGTGTCATGCATCCTCCATTTGTTTCACGTATATGAAATAAAAGGAAAAAAAAGTTCATGAGATGTTGACAAGTCAGCCACATGGTAATTCTCACTGGATTTGAGGCAGTTCAGTGTCACTTAAACCTACTGCGTAAACTTACTTACCCCTTTTGTTTGGATAAAAATTCCAGTTGGTTCATCACAGCAGCCAGAGATTTAGCTGCAAAAGGAGAAATATTATTTAATTTTTAACTGGAAAACAGTATCAAGGTATTTGTACTCTAAAAAGTATGATTAGTAATAAGCCATAGGCTGTAATGTTTTCCATTAATTAGCAACCAATCTAAGTTCATGCTTAAAGAATGCTTTACTGGAAATAGTTCCATGTTGGGATCTGGGGTTGAGAATCCGGTATCTACTTTGGAAAGCACCTGCTGCAAAGCCAGTCAGAAATTCAAACAAATGTAACTAAGTGAAACAGTTACAAATTACTGCATCAAACTTAGGGGTAGAGAGATACAGTATTCTATTAAATAAAGCTTTAAAAAGAACAGTTTGTTATACAACACCAACAGTTCCAAAGTAGAAAAACAAACAGAAGTGACCAAGGACACGTTTTGCTCAAAAGCTCATTTGACACCTCTCCCAACTATAGCTTGTTTAGTTAGTAAAAGATATCACAAAGAAACGCCAGACAAAACAAACAAGAAAACAAAACAAAAACAAAACAAAAAAAACCCCACACACTTTGCTTCTTGCATATTTCCTGGAATGTTATGGCTAAAACACCTCTCCAAACCCAATATAAAAAAGAATTATTATTCAGATAAATAAGAGTTTGGATAACTAAATATGTACTATATTTTTAAGCCAACTTCAGTCATCTACCTCTGGGTTCATGTAGGGTTTAGCACAAGGGTGCTAAAATACTGAGTATAGGCCTTTGGATACTGCCTTTCATTGGAGAACCAATTACCACCACTTTCACATAATCAAAGTCAATAAAACATTTGACAATAGACCATGAAGTTTCTTACAGCTTGTTACCATTTAAAGTTTTCTGTATCTTCTCCAAGCAAGAAAATAATGGACGATCTGCAGTAACAGCACTGGAACCTTGAGCTGGTTTATCCTATCACAGTTGCAAGGAAAGGTGAAGTGAGAAAAGAAAAGATGGGGGGGGGGGGATCACCATCCAAAGTAAAAAAAATACTTGGTTATATACCACAGCTTGAAACCCAACCTAAAAGCAGGACCAGTTTGACTCCTAGAAGAATTACTAAATTTAATACGGAGACAGGAACAAATTAGGGCTCTGATTTTTCAGGCACTTATAACTTATAACAGCATCCAGCTCTAGAGCAGATTCACCAAACTAAATGGATTAATGGAGACTACTAATATGTGAAGCAATGGGGGGAAATA